CCCAGTTTGCAAATAAACTCCAGTTCTGCAGCTTCACGTTGGAGTCTGGTTTTGAAGTTTTTTTGTTGAAGAATTGCCATGTTTAGGTCTGCTATTGAGTGACCCGAGAGACTGAAGTGTTCTCCTACTGGTTTTTCAATGTTATGATTTCTGATGTCAGATTTGTGTCCATTTATTCTTTTGCGTAGAGACTGTCCGGTTTGGCCAATGTACATGCAGAGGGGCATTGCTGGCACATGATGGCATATATAACATTGGTAGATGTGCAGGTGAATGAGCCCGATGGTGTGGCTGATGTGATTAGGTCCTATGATGGTGTCCCTTGAATAGATATGTGGACAGAGTTGGCACTGGGGTTTGTAGCAGGGTTTGGTTCCTGGGTTAGTGTTTTTGATGTGTGGTGTATAGTTACTTGTGAGTATTTGCTTCAAGTTGGCGGGGCTGTCTGTAGGCAAGGACTGGCCTGTCTCCCTAGGTCTGTGAGAGTGAGGGATCGTCTTTCAGGATAGGTTGTAGATCCTTGATGATGCGCTGAAGAGGTTTCAGTTGTGGGATGTAGGAGACGGTAAGTGGCGATCTGTTACTTTCTTTGTTGGGCCTGTTTTGTAGTAGGTGACTGCTTGGTACCCTTCTGGCTCTGTCAATCTGTTTCTTCACTTCAGCAGGTGGGTACTGTAGTTTTAACAACGCTTGATAGCGATTCTGTAGGTGTTTGTCTCTGTCTGAAGGATCGGAGCAAATGCGGTTGTATCTTAGAGCTTGGCTGTAGACAATGGATCGTGTGATGTGGTCTGGATGAAAGCTGGAGGCGTGTAGGTAAGTATAGTGGTCAGTAGGTTTCTGGTATAGGGTCGTGCATAAACAACTCAGCGCGAGGCACAGCAGTGAAGCCTGGGAATAGGGATAATGAAAACCAGCTACCAGGTTTTAACCCTTTCCTTCCCTTCCCTTGCAGTGTCACCCATGGTGGCATCAGCTCAGCCTGTGGCACAGGGATCACCCAGTTCCTGAACACAGCCCGCTCAGCTCCCCCTGGAACGGGGCAGGCCTGGGGTTCTGACGATGGCATTCCCGAATTCCTGACGTCAGCTGATGTCAATAGGCGGAGCTAAGGAGCCAACCCACAATGGATTTCCCAAATTTAATATAGTGACCAGGGAGATAACAGTTCCCAACCCTCAGACCCTATCTGCACCAATAACCCAGGGATTGCGCTGACACCCAGCTAGAGTGGATTCCCGCGAGGTTGACTGGACTCTCCCAGGCAGAGGCTGTGATGCAGGGAGAAGCAGAGACCCACAGATGAGAGTTGAGGACAGAGTCAGAGAGCACAAGGCTTGAGGCATTTCCTGGTGTCTGCTGCTCCGGGCTTCTCGTTTTCCTTCTGAGTCCATCTGCCCTGGACTGGCGAACCATCCCCCAGACATGCAATAGCGGGATATCTGACAAACAGTAAAACTGTGACCACTTTAGCACTTCTGGCTGGGGGGGAGAGAGGGAGGGAACTGAGACTTCCCCACTTTTTTCTGGAGATCGTGCACGCGAGTGGGACAACACCATGACCCAAAAATGAGAGTAACTTCACCCCTCCCTAAATCCCCTCTCACTTCCTCTCCCTCCCACCCGGGGCTCACCAGTCTGATATCCCAATTCACTTTCTCCCCCCGTGTCTGATTCTCCCTCATTGTCCCTGTCCCAGTTTTTAGAACAATGTCAGTGGTTTGAGGTGCAGAGCAATGTACAATAAAATGTCCCTGAACACCA